GGAAAAGACACATTTTCTACAGCATTTAAGATAATTCTTCATAAACATTTAAACCCATCACTATTATTTCCATATCAAAGCTGTAGCTCTGTCACTCTCCAAACTCTTTCAGTCCTTCACAGCTCCTTTGGTTGAAGGACAACTCACAATGTCCAAGGACAAGGATTACATAAGTAGCTTGAATCGGAATTTAAGATCACCGGATTCACCTTGAAATGTGAATTATTTTGGGGATTTTTGGAATCATCTCTGTGTTGCACTTCACATTCTGTTTTTTTGCAACGCGTTTCACACAGACCACTTGCCAACACAGTGTTTAGTGACAAAAGTGGCTTGATGAAGGTTTGCTAAAATGTATACTTTTAAAACATCTGCAACATGCCGTTGTGGGGACTGGGTTATTTTAAGAAAAAAAGAAATCCCATTGGAAATAGCTCTGCTTAAAAAAACAAAAACTAAAAATTGCCGTTTTCAAGTTGAAGATTTTAAACTCAGAGTAACCCGTCTTAAAACTCACTGGGAGTCCATGAAGCTTACAAGAGACTGTCTGTTATCCTGTTTTTTAACCTCACTCGATAACTTTTGCTTTTTTCTTTATCAGGTGTTGTGCTGATCTGGCCACATGTGCTTACCAAGAGTGTTTCTCACAGTCTACAAACCCCTAAGAGTCCCTCTCTAACTGCAGGTAATAACCATAAGCTGATGTACAACTTTTTTTTGTTCCAATTCAGATATAAATGTTAACATGGTAAACCCTGTACATAGGATTGTACAGTATTTTTGGAAAGTGTATTGCAATGCATTTTGTTAACTAGGAGTAATGTATTTATTAAGATGAAATTTAGAACAGTGGAAGTTTTTGATGCTTTAACCTTTACATAATGGAGGGGTCTCAATGCTTGGTTTTATCCCAGAGGCTATGCATGACCCTGGTAGGCTCTCCCTTACCAAGCAGGGTCTGGTGTCTATGTTAGAAAAAAGGGTGGTTAAGAAACATTCTTGAAAAGGAGGATGCTGAAGCAAACAATGTTGTTCCATAAGGCTGCGGCATCACCTCGAAGCTAGGCCAGGGGTCTGCAACCTGCTACTTCAGAGCCACATGTGGCTTTTTGGCCCCTTTAGCATGCCTTTTTTTATGGTGGATAAAAACTATGAATAAGCCAACTAATGGTTTTGAATACAGTATAATAACAATTACTAATCTTAGAAGCTTTAGCAGGTTTCTTGAGCAAAATTTGAATAATAAATTCACAATAGAAAGGCATTAAAATAACAATAAATATTTTTTAGGTCTGTTTTTCTTATTAGCTTTTTG